GGAGGGGTGATAACTGAGAGGGAGCAAGCACAGTGGTCAGTGGTGGTGGGATATGGGTGAGCTGGTGGTGGGTGCTGGTAATTCATGATGGGGGTTGCCTCAATATTAACTCAGTTAAAAATAACTTAACTAAAAATTTAAAATGTATGTGTTGCGGTCCCACCAATCTTCTGAATCCAAAGGCAACAACCAGTGTTTCTGATGCCTATTAAGGTTTGAGGACCAAGGTTATAACAAACTAAAACTAAACAATTTAAAACTAAATTTCATTGTGAACAGGCACTGTTGACATATTAGAAATGTTATTCCCAAAGTAAGTAAATAGTAATATTTAATCAGTATAGCATTATTCACAAAATAGAACATATTTCCCCCTAATTCTTGCCAGTGCTTTTTTTTTTCATATAATCATGGAGAAGTGACTCACAAATCATACATCAAAAATTAGCATTTGAATGGATATTTATGAATTCAATTATGTTCCATTTTTCTTTTTCTCTAACAGCATCTTAATTATAGCAATTTTATAATAAGCTACGATGCCTGATATAACAAATATCCAGCATCATTCTCTCTCAATATTGTCTTGGTCAGTTTGGATTCTTTGAAGTTCCATTTTAAATTTTAGATTCTACATTTCAACTTCCACAAAATAATGGCTTAATTTCATAATATATTTTAATTGGGATTGCACAAATCAAGTGACAAGAAAGGCACATACTACAGTGAGTTCAATCTATTAATATGATATTTAATTAACAGCACCGTACTCTTTTTTCAGTGATTGTTATTTTCCCAGTCACACAGATGACTTGAACTTGTGCTGTGGTACATGCAATGACCAGCGTATGTCCTATCTATTCTCCTTCCAGTGCCGTCCTTTACAATGCTATCCCAAGACATTTGTTTGTAAGGTCAGAGTCCTCACAATTGGCAGTCCTAGATTCCAACACACCCTCTCCCTCTTTAGTTCTAAGATGTCCAAATTACTACTCAGCTTCTCGTTTTCCTATTTTGGATCATCAATTGTGCTCAGTTCCAAAAGGCCATGTTCCCAATCTTGGCCCAATAATTCTTTACTACTTTGTCAACAATTCTGTTCCAGTTCATAGTTCATCTAGCTTTATTAACTGACTATTCTGAATTACCTATACTGTCACTATTGTTAGATCCATTACCATAAATACTTTCAAGTGTGTCTTTCATTTTCTTAAAAGATAAAAAGCACATTTATATTATCTGTGACCGGTATTTACCAAGTCCAGCAGTATTAATTTCAGTTGGTTCCACTCATAATGACTTACTTTTGTGTTTTTTTGATTGTAACCATTTGTTTGTATAAATCTGACAGAACTTAACTGAAGCCTAGGAGAAAGATGTTTTCTTCCAATGAAGACTTGCAATTTCTTCTGCCAGGTTCCTAGGTAAACCACTAATCAGTCAACCTGGGACTATTTTAAATTCATCTCACCATTTGAAAGAATACAGTGATGTGAATTTGGGCTGCAAATCTACTCCAGAATTGCATTATGGTTATAGCTTCTATATGATGCCAAGGTGCTTTCTCTTTAGTCTTTGATGGTAGGGGTGGAAGGGTTTATGATTATGATATGAAGGGAAATACTCCTATTAAGACTTTATAACCTATTCAGCCCGTAGGCTTTCACGCTTGTCCCCTCACCCTTCAGGCTTATAAAATTGTGAGTCACATTTGCCAGCCTGGAAAATGCTCTTGGGGCATTCTTCATATGCACAAACTTCTAAATTCTTGATTTTTGGGTAATTCTTTAATTTCTTTTTAGTTCTTTGATGCTTTTAAAGAAATTACTTTTGGGGGCCTCCCTGGTGGTGCAAGGGGTTAAGTCTCAGCACTATGAAGCTATCAGCAGCCACTGCAGCACAAGTTTGATCCCTGGCCAGGGAGCTACCCACATGGCACAAAAAAACCACTCCTGTCTCGCCCGCTGCTCCCCTCAGCAGTATATTTCAGTAGATCTGCCTGTTCTGCTCCCCACTCCATCTCTGGTGAATACTCTCACTCCCTGCAACTTTGGCCTACTCATCAGCTCTTGTATGTATAAATAAATAAGATAAATCTTAAAAAAATAAATTATTTTTCATTTTTTCCAGCATTTTTAGGTGTTTTTGTTAGTAGAGTTTGTGTATAACCTAGACCACAGTATTTCTTACAGAAGTGGCTAATTCTTGTTAAATGTATGACTTACATAATAAAGCTTTTAAACTTTTTATGTCTGAAAGAATCAGAGAACCCCATATGACAGGGGGCCTAAGACACATAGTATTATAAAACCCAGCTCTCTTTTTGTGCCTCACGAGTTTAACCCACTAACTCTAACACAGGCTCAAAACTTCAGAAAAAAACTATGAAGGAAAACTGTGTCAAGGGAATAATAGAAAACCTCAGTGTACTAAGGTCAAATTAAGAGGTTAAAGACCTCAAGCTTCATCTCTCACCATGCCTCAATGAGTGCCTGCCCAAGTCCCTCCAGCTCCACCTTGTCATTTCTAGGTTCTCTGCAAATCCTTCATTGGGTACTTGGCTTTGGCTCTAATGATTTTGTTACTCCAGGCAGTTTTCCAAACAAAAAGGAATGGTTATTTACAATTCCTAGACTAAATCATAAATATCATCAGCTGAATTACACTGAAATGTCAGTATAAGTCTACACAATGAAATTTCACATAAAGTGAGTCTGTTTTGGCTAGGTAAAAGGGGTTTTAGTTATAAAAGTAGCAAAAGGATCTTATTGTAGCTAAGTTTGGACTCTTAGGTGGTCCCGAAGTGTATACTCTCGGGACAGTATTACAGCAAGGCTTCTGATACACACCATTTAGACTGGGAGCCAGACAGCATTTTTCTCCCCCAAGTTAGAAGGAATCAGTGGTATTCTAGTAAATTGCCCCTCAGTGAATGAAATGACTTTACTTAGATTTTCATACTAAATGCCTTTCTTAAATCATTTTGCATTTGTCTCAAAAAAATCTGTGATTACTTCAATCTAAAACAATCATGAAATAAAGCACACATAGTGGTATCTTCAAGCAAATACCTGTTAACCTGTTAGTTCAAAGAAGAAGTAGCCTTAATCAAAACAAAATTTATCAGTATGTGTTAACTGTTTAAAAATCAGATTTTTCACAAGGAATCACCATGACCTAAAATACATTCCATAGAGTATGTGTTTGACATGACCAGTTTCTGAATTCCTTAAGGTTAAAAAGGGGTGTGTTTCACAGAAAAACAATCTAATGGCTTGGCCACAATGCCACAGTGAAGCTGCTGCTGTCAGCGCCTACAAGGAGTTGTATTGTCTGATGCCAAAACACAGCTGAGCACTACCTTGAACACTGGGGCATTCACACGCCTGAGAATCCACAATAAAGCATGTACCCAAGGCCAAAGCAATGATCTGGGTATGATCCTGGAAGCAGCTGCATCAATGCCACATGGGAATTGGCTAGAAATACAAATTCTTGAAACCCACTTCAGGTCCACTGAATCAGAAATCCTAAGGTGGTGCTTGGCAATCTATGTTTCAGTAAGTCTTCTAGGTGATTATGATGCAGATTAGAGTTGGAGACTCCCTACTTTCTCTAAAGAAATTCTTGTTCATTTGCTCTGATGTATGATTGTTTGAGTAGCGTTCTCTCTCTCTTTTCTCTTTCTTCTCTCTCTCTCTCTCTCTCTCTGTCTCTCATACACACACACACACACACACCCCCACCCACCCAATACACACTCATATCCAATCCAGAAAATGAATTTCCATTGTTAGGAGAATGGATAAAAGAATTGTAACATTCACAGTGAAGTACTCACTATGTAACAGAATACATAAATGACAAACAGCTATATTTATAAGCTTAAATAAAATCTACAACCATAACTTTAATTGGGGGAAAAAAACCCACGGAAGTCAGTCTGCTGCATAATATTTTGTAAAGGTTAAAAAACAAGGAAAACTAAGTAATTTATTATTGAACAATGCATTTATGTGATAAAGCAATGAAGCCAGTTTTTTTAAAAAGGGAAAGGCTACCCACGCCTTTAATTTGGTCCAGTGTTACCCCTCAGAGCCGCAGAGGCAGGGGTGCGGGTAAGGAAGGCTCACACCGGGAGCCATAAATACTAGGAACAGCCAAGTTCTTAAGGTGGGTAGTGAGTTCATAGCTGGTCACCATCTTTATGTCATGTTATCACTGGATTCTTTTCTATATATCAAATATTACAAAATAAATTTTAAGCCCAGAAAACAAAAATAAATGCAGCTTAATAAACAAAGATAATCATTAACTTAAATACAAAATAGAAAACACTGGAGAGATGTACATAATGTAAACCATGATAGGCCCATTTAGTTACAAGAATTTTTAAATAAGTGGGAAAATATTTGTAATAAAATTATCCAGATAAAATAATTTTTTAAATACACAGTAAAAGGATTATAAGAAAATACAATAAAATCTTAATACTGAATATCACAGGGAATTTCACTTCTTTGTACATTTAAAATTTCCATGGTGAATAATATTATTTTAGAAATCATTAAGGATTTTTTAAGCTGTCATTAAAAAAAATGTCAATTTTTCTGCTGGAAATAGGAAGGATATTGACATTTTCTGAATATCTGGTTGTGATTTATGAGCTTTATAATTCAGACTTTTATTTTTGCCTTAAAATTGTGTATCTATTACTATGATTTCATTTAAAATTATTTCATGTTGATGTGCAAAAAGCTATGACTGAGAAAACCATGACCTGAAAAACATTTTTTTTGCCATTGAGGACTTTAATTAAAACAACTGAAAAAAACTTCAATTTCATTAAGACAAAAGGGAAAAATATCCACCGATGGGTGACCATTTGGAAATACAGAAGAAACACATATACTGAGAGTCTGCCTCATAGTTCTATAATTCTGTCATAGTTAGAAAGAATCACAAAGATGAAGACCAGACGGCACAGATTAGATACATACCTCTTTTTCCAGTATTCTAGTGATCTCGCCAAGGGTACGATCTAAAGCAGAAACTTTCGTGTTTGCCCATGAGCCACTGTCTTGTACTTGAATTTGTTTTAGAAGATCTTTGGCTAATCGCTGAAGTCTTCAATACAAAATGAAAGGATGACATTAATACGTTACACTGTAATACCTCATTTTCTTAAACATATTGAAAGAAAAGGTATTTTGATAATTGTATAGGAAATTACTTAACAGTACCCAAGGGGAAGCAAATGCAAGCTACGCATCAGGCTGGACCTACTTTATTCAGGAACACCAATCTAGTCCACAAGGCATAAGAGAAAGATAGTGGACAGAATTGTCAATCCACAGAATTAGCTGGAACAATGGCTACCATGTTCTGTGTGACGCTTAAACCAGAACAGTATTGGAGATGAGGAATGAGTAAGAGGATGACAGCACAGGAGATGAATGTAAGACCCTCAGGAGGTGTTTATGTTTTGATTTAAATCTTCAAGATAGGCTTGGATATGATGTTCTAAGAATTGAAAACTCTCAATGTTTAATTCCCTGTGTTCTAATTTACAGACAATTTGGGGATTCCCTGCCTCTGCTGAATGTCATTTGTTGCAGTCCCCTTCCCTTTTCCCTTGCTTGAGCATCCCATCTAAAGATACTCTCCCAGATTTTTTTTTTATCATTTTTATCCATAAGAATAATGTTTCACTTCCATTTTTATATATAATTCCATGGGCCAAAATACAATCACTTTCTTGTAAAGATGCTAATCCCCTGTTTGTTGTTCTGTTTTACTCCTACTGTGTAAATGCCAGTAATAGTAATAGTCAGTGATGCATGTTAGTTCTCACTGTGGGCCAGGAAACATTCTCATTACCTTGCATACGTTAATTCATTTAGCTGGATTAATAAACATCTGCCAGTATTTTCCACTGCTGATAAGAAAAAGTCATACCACACTAAAGATTGGTATGACTACAGATCTAAGATCTTACTAAATCCATCTGCTCTGTTCACTTATTCTTACAATCTCTCCATGAAGATTTGCTTCACACATCCCCCAATCTCTCCCAAACTCCACCCATCTGTTTATACCACTAGGTTTCACTGGAAAATCTTTCATTTTACATAGAAAATGGAAGCTCTTGGGACATGAAAATCCTCATTTTCTACCACAAATCTACATGTCAATCTGCATTTCACCCACTCTTTGCTTCTCCATTACAACCAAAGACGATGAATTTCTCCCAAGTAGGGCCATTCCTACCATACAGGCTCTGCACGCATGAGGACTTTCTGATCTAAATTCATTTCTTCTTCCTGCTTCAACGGTCTTTACAAATACTCTTCATTTATTCCTTTTGAAATGCTTCCATCCCCTTCATACTATTTAAAAATTCCAACTTTTCCCTTCTTAGCTCAAGCCTTACTTCCTCTGATTTGACTCTTCTGCCAGTCATCACAAGTCTCTCCTGTGCAGAACTTTACAACAGAATGTAAAGCAGTGACAGGAATGCTCTTTACTGCCCAACACAGTGACTGCTAGCCAAATGTGGTCACTATGTGCTTGAGATGCAGTCAGAATGACTGAGGAACTGAATTTTAATAATTTAAATTTAAATGGTCCTATGTCGCCAGAGGTTACGATACTGGCTGGTACAGAAACAAAGTATTAACTTCATGTGAATGGGATTTCATCTACCCACTGACTGCCTTATCCATTCCACCTAACATACTTCCTCTTAAGTGCACTCGACAGACATGAAATAATGGTCTAAGAAGAAATTTCTTAATTTTGTAATATTCATAATTTCATAGGTTTCAACATATTTTATGTACTTGACCCTTATTTAATCTCTCAAAAGTACTGTCAATTGGCATTATCCCCATTTGAAAAATGAAGAAAGTAAGTTTCAGTGAAATTTGGTGACTTTTTCAAGGTTTTGCAACTGGTAAAAGCTTTTAATGGACTTGAAACCTAGGGTTTTGATTTTCAAATATCATATTTTTGTTTCCAAACCTATTAGTCTATTCAAATAAGAAATTTTTATTCACAAATGAATAATTTTCTAGAATACAATCTCACCTAAAAAATTATTTTTGTAAGACTAAAAATTTCTCAAAGAATATAACAGCAAATGTAGTTCAAAAAGGCAATGGTAACACCAGTTTAAACCTAAGCTACCCATATGAAGTTTTACTTTGACAAGTCAAAGACTGAATACAACCAAAAATATTTATGCTTGGTTTCTGGCTCCAGTACATATCACATATGTAAACCTGTAGGGAGAGCATGTAACTAGTCTGAATCTCAGTTTCTTCATCTTAAAAGTGGAGATAATATATGTATTTTCCTTTCATAGCTTTTGAAGATCAGAGATATGTAATGTACTTAAGACAATTCAATAAAGTAAATATTCCCTAAAAACCACTATTGTTGGGCCTCCCCTGGTGGTACAGGGGTTGAGTGCCATGCTATGAAGCTGCCTGCAGTCTCTGCAGCGCTGGTTTGGCTGGCTGGCTGGCAAGGGTCCCACATGGTGCAGCAGACCTCTCCTGCCTCACCCGCTGCTCCCCTCAGCAGTGTATTTCGTCAGTCTGCCTGTTCTGTTCTCCGCTCTGTCTCTGGTGAATCCTCTCACCCTCCCGTGCATCTGGCCTGTACCCTGGTTCTTATATAAATAAATAAATAAATCTTTAAAAAAACAAAACAAAACAAAACCTCTTGTTATTGACAGGATGTCTCAATCTAACAAAAGGAAAAATGGAATATAAAAAGACAAAAATAGAATAATATATTTTTCCCTTCTAATCGAATATGGGCAGCAGTCCTATCCAATTAAAGTTACTGACCTTATCATGTGGAACAATATTGGCAGTGAATTTCATTGTGTGACAGATAAGAAGTCACTTCAGCTTTTGGCTGAATAAAGCCTGCACACCATGTAACTAAATATCCAGCCACAGCAATGGATGCATATGAATCTAACAGTATTCTTACCAAGAATGCTCACATTCCACTGAAAATCAGAGGTACTTAGGGAGGCACAAGGACCATTCTAATTCACAGAGTATAAGAGGTTTGTATTTCACCCTGAGGTAAATCAAATCTGGGATTCATATGAACCTACCCTTCAAGGAAGAATGCCAAATCAAGGGGATGCTTAGGTAACATGAGCTAAGCCTCTGTTTCATTCCCTGCTTCCACAGAAATATAACAAATAATATAGCCTCTCTGAAGTAAAAAGCATCTGACTTTGATTCATACTATAAATTATTATACAGGGTCACAGGAGTCAAGCCCTGAAAGCTGTATTTCCCTTACAGGGCAATAATGGGAGCTGTTTAGAAAGGGTGCAGTTTTTAACATAAAAATTGTTATTTGAGTCACTTCTGGCAGATAATTTTTCTAGCATGAAAAAAAAAAAAAAAAGTGGAGGCTTTGAAACTCCTGGCCTCGAACATGAGAAGTATATGTCAGGTAAACAGCTTTGTGGTGAAGGCTGTATGGTCAGATATTTTTTCTCAACACTAGAACAATTTCCAACAACTCTAAGTTCAAACCTGTTACTGGTAAATATGAAATAGAAATGCATCTTTGTAAGAAACATTCACTTTCATTACAGTAAAGTTTTGGGGGTTTTCCTTAGGATCACTATGGACTATTTGTAAAAGTGTAAGAAGGGACTGGGTCTCCGTTGTTGCTTGTGGAGGGTATTGCCTCAATGTTGACGGCTACTGATTGATAAGGATGGTGTTTGCAAAGGCTGGAATGGCTGTGGGTATTTCTTCAAATAAGACAACAATAAAGTCTGGTGGGTCCTCTGACTCTTCCTCTCACAAGATTTCCCTGTAGCATGAGATGTTGCTTGATAGTATCATATCCATGTTAGAATTTCTTTCAAAGTTAGAGTCAATCCTCTCAAGTCCTGCTACCGTGTTCTCAACAAAGTTGATGTAATACTCTAAATCCTTTGCTGTCATTTCAAAATGCTCACAGCATTTTCACTAGGAATGGTTTCCATGTGAAGAAACCACTCTCTTTGCTCATCAGTAAGAGGTAACTCCTCATTCATTAGTTTTATCTTGAGACTGCAGCAAGTCAGCCACATCTTCAGGTGACACTTCTGATTCCCTTACTTTTTCTACCGCACCTTCAGTTATTTCCTCCACTGAAGCCATGGACCTCGCAAAGTCATCCATGAGGGTTGGAATCAATTTCTTCCAAACTCATACAAATGTTGATATTTTTGCTTCATCCCATGAAATCATGAATATTCTTTCTTAATGGCAACTAAAAATGGTGAATCCTTTCCCAACATTTTCAATTGACTTTACCAGATCCAAAGAGAAATCACTATTTGTAGCTTCTTTACCCTTACAATCTATAGTCTTAGATGATAAGACATGAAAGTCAAAATGACTCCTTGAACCTGGGCTGCAGAATGGATGTTGTGTTAGCAGCATGAAAAATACTCATTTCTTTGCACATATCAGAGGTCTGGAGAACTGGATGCACTGTCAATGACCAGTATTTTTTTAAACTTTTTTTTTTTAATTTAAAATTTTTTAAAAAAAAGATTTATTTATTTATTTATACAAGCACTGGGTACAGTCAGAAGCACGGGAGCGTGAGAGAATTCACCAGAGCCAGAGTGGGGAACAGAGCATGCAGACTGACGAAATACACTGCTGAGGGGAGCAGCAGGCGCAGCAGGAGAGGTCTACATGCCATGTGGGACCCTCGCAGGTGCCTGGGGATTGAATCGGCAATGCAGAGGCTGTGGGCAGCTTCACAGCCCAGTGCTCAACCGCTGTGCTGGGGAGGCCCAGCAGTATTATTTTGAAATAATTTTTTTTTTTTTTTCTGAGCAGTAGGTTTCAGTAGTGGGCCTAAAATAATCAGTAAACCATGTAATATGCTGTCATCCAGGCTTTGTTGTTCCGTACATAGAGAATAGGTAGAGTAGTTTTAGCATATTTTTTAGGGGTCCTAGATCAGAATGGTAAGCAAACAATGGCTTCCATTTAGAATCACGGGTCTCTCACTTCTCCAAAGAGGAAATGCAAATGGCCAACAGGCATATGAAAAAATACTCAATATCACTTATAATCAGGGAAACA